TCAAACACTCTATAATGATTTTCACAGCTGATCTGCGTTTGTGTATCAGTACGCTTAAAAACTTTCAGCTGGTAGTTTGATGCACTGACGAATGCCATCAATACCCACTCCTGGCAGGTAGTGAAACCAGGGACCCCTCAGGGGATTGCTCATGAGGGTAAATCTAAGTGGGCCCTTAAGATGAGGCTATCGTCTAGACCAATACAGGTTATTATGGACTTTTCACAGTTGGTTGCACCTGGAAATCTCATGAGTGATTGAATGTGTCTGACGCACGTGACGACTGCACCTTACCATATCACACGGCTCTTCAGTGAAAGAGCAAATGTTGTCTGGTATCCGCAACTGGCGAACATACGTTGACCTCGGTCGGATTAAGATACACACTGATCTGGCCAAACACTTCTCTTCGCAACCAGTGGAGTTCTTGAGCGCTGTTCACTCTGCTGTTTTGCTCAATGTTCTCCATTGATGTTACCACGGAATGCGTACTCCGGGGAGCGATGAATATAGCAATCAAAATCACCTCGGGAGAAAGGCTAATGGACCTAGATTCAACGAAAAACATCGCTGCTGTTTGACTATCATTTGTCAGCACAAAGTACTCTAAACGGGCTACCTGAGGTGCTTTTCAGATGTAGTCTTATTTCAGGACTTTCCATCCTTACCTGCATTTCTGGAACTCCAACATGAGGAACTTGAGTTTGTTGATCGATTCGGATATCTTGACAGCTGCACAAGCTATGATTGCAGTATACTCAATGCATTCATTGCTCATATAATCAAGGCACGTGCAGGGTACGCCGAGTTGTATCAGTTATGACATCATAAGCGAATTTCGCTGAGGCTAAAGAGCTGAGCAGAAAATACAACTGTAAGAGTGATGTCAGTTTATGGTTGTAATGCTGGGTTCATTCGATCCCAGGACATTTGGGGCCTCCATACTTTTGGTCAACGGTGTCTCTCCAGCATAAGAAGAGTTTGCTGACTGCAGCGAGTACGCAACGGAGTTGTGCGTAAGCCGGTACTACCTGGTAACAAATCCGAATAGACACAAGAGCAGAGTAAACTTACCTGACCAGGGTGGTTGGGTCATGTGGTACATATACCGAGCTACCTTCCTCCCAAGAAAGCGTTGTTTCCCGTTCCAAGCCATCGTTGGCGAAATGACTGCGGTTGACAGAACGTGACATGAAAGTGACTACAGTCCAACCTAGTATTATAGGATATTCGCACCTTCTTAGCTGTAACCCCTGTAATCCACCTGGCGCATAGCTGGAAATACTGAAAGACATGCCACGCCACCTCATTGGTGCCCATGCTGTCATTACCTATCCAGTCTGCCTAGCCAAAGTTCACCTGTCGTTGTGCGCTCGGTTTATGTCGGAGAAGCTCGCAAAGAACAGCGGGTCATTTCGGTTGATTGCGTCTTAATTCGATACGATGTGTCTATTTTAATGCTACCCAAACTTGCATGAACCTTATTTTTCATCGTTTTCATTAAAGACATAGGACTTCTTCGCGGCAATTTCTCACTGTTCGTTTTTCCTTCCACCAAGCCTTTACTGAGACTTTCTTCCCTCATTACAGTTAGGCGACAGTATGTATCACTGGTGTTGACGATGATGGAGATTGGGATGGGGATGGGGATGGGAATGGCGATGATGATGATGATGATGATGATNGGCTTTGGGCTCGTAAACTGTTGGAATAATCCAGTGCCAAGGCGCTTTCTTTGACAGCCATGCATGTAACTACACTAACCTTACAGTGACGTCAAAGGAAGTTCGAAACGAGCCAGCGAATCCAAGACCGTTCACTCCTAAAGGGTACTCATTCCTGCAGGCACCCATAAGAATTCTCTAGTACAGTTTGAAAAATGGAATTCTGGTTTCCAATGGAAGGATTAAGTTCTTAATGGCCCGCTATTTACGATATTAACTACCTTTTCCAATCCACTTTATAAGCAAAAATTTTCCCCAACAGTTTTTCCAACCTGAATTCCGCTCTGAAGCCAATATGACCCGGAAACCGAAGAAACTAAATAAAAATAGGTGCTCTGAGGACAGACTACATCATTTTGAACGGATTACTTGGCGAAAAGAAATGTGAGGCCGCATAAAGTATACTTGACAACCCGAAATAAATTGCCCTATGGCCATTTGGAAGATATTTCATTCTGAAGCAAATAATTGACGAAATTATAAAGGTTGGCTTTCCGGAATACAAAATTTCTTGACGAAAAGTGCTCTTTTTTCAAGGGAAGATATTCTGCCGAAGGTGGCCACGCTCATTGGAGCAACTTACTTATTCACACCAGTAAGAAAAAACTTTTATGCAGCGAACGTCTTCCGTTGAGTTTGACCTTGGTTCATTGTACTTCGGCAACATTGGGTGATTGAACAACATCCGATGAAAGGTCGATGTGTTTCCAACAATATGCACCAGTTTTACCTTCATTACATTCCTTCTCAAAGGCCGAGTGAAAAGCAGTATGGAAGACGTAGAGGAGCCCTATGATTCTGTTTGTAAATGTCTTCCAGATTTTTCCATCTTTTACCCATCAAGCCTCTGAAACATTCGGGACTTCATTTTGAATAACGATTCAAAATTCGAGAGAGATTTTAGGTGGTTTGCATCAAAGTGGTTGTTGCTTGGAAACAATCAAGATTAGGTCAGAATGGTTTTTCTGGCATACAGTAATAATTGAAGACATTGCTGATACATACCGATAATTTGGGAACAGGTTCAAAGAGGACGAAGGATCGTATTCTCCTAGAAGATAAAAATTACTGGATACGGAGACATCTGTGTCAAGATAGTTATTTCTATTTAAACAGCTGAGGTTAAACAAATATGTGAGGGCGTCTAGCATTATATATATACATTATATAAGTGTGTTAGGGATAAACACACTCATGGAATGAAATGAGATCAAACTGACACACAATGCTGAACATACGTAGGTTAATCTGCTCAGTGGTCCCGATTCACTGGGCTCTAAACTGAAGGTGATAGGTTACAATACACTACTTTCCTTGATCAGGGAAAAGACCCGTTTCAACGGCTTTTCACATCCTGAGAAGTTTCTCTTCAGATTCTTTGTGTAATTGTATCTCAAACACAAATAGAAACCTAATTTTCTGGCTGTGATGCACCTTTTATGCCCGCATAATCTTTGTTGCCAATACCCAACATAAGAGGGTACTAGCCTTGCACTCCTTTTTTTCCATTTGTCGTGATGAATTTTGATGACATCAATCTTCTGAAGCATCGGGTTGCACTTATCTGTTTGACGTATACAATCCAAGTAGGCTCCAGAGCAGAATTATTGTTAGATAAATCTCTGCGGCGACTTCACACCACATAATCGTTGAAATAGTATGTGCCCACAAAATCTGTGCTATCAAACACTCTATAATGATTTTCACAGCTGATCTGCGTTTGTGTATCAGTACGCTTAAAAACTTTCAGCTGGTAGTTTGATGCACTGACGAATGCCATCAATACCCACTCCTGGCAGGTAGTGAAACCAGGGGTCCCTCAGGGGATTGCTGATGAGGGTAAATCTAAGTGGGCCCTTAAGATGAGGCTATCGTCTAGACCAATACAGGTTATTATGGACTTTTCACAGTTGGTTGCACCTGGAAATCTCATGAGTGATTGAATGTGTCTGACGCACGTGACGACTGCACCTTACCATATCACACGGCTCTTCAGTGAAAGAGCAAATGTTGTCTGGTATCCGCAACTGGCGAACATACGTTGACCTCGGTCGGATTAAGATACACACTGATCTGGCCAAACACTTCTCTTCGCAACCAGTGGAGTTCTTGAGCGCTGTTCACTCTGCTGTTTTGCTCAATGTTCTCCATTGATGTTACCACGGAATGCGTACTCCGGGGAGCGATGAATATAGCAATCAAAATCACCTCGGGAGAAAGGCTAATGGACCTAGATTCAACGAAAAACATCGCTGCTGTTTGACTATCATTTGTCAGCACAAAGTACTCTAAACGGGCTACCTGAGGTGCTTTTCAGATGTAGTCTTATTTCAGGACTTTCCATCCTTACCTGCATTTCTGGAACTCCAACATGAGGAACTTGAGTTTGTTGATCGATTCGGATATCTTGACAGCTGCACAAGCTATGATTGCAGTATACTCAATGCATTCATTGCTCATATAATCAAGGCACGTGCAGGGTACGCCGAGTTGTATCAGTTATGACATCATAAGCGAATTTCGCTGAGGCTAAAGAGCTGAGCAGAAAATACAACTGTAAGAGTGATGTCAGTTTATGGTTGTAATGCTGGGTTCATTCGATCCCAGGACATTTGGGGCCTCCATACTTTTGGTCAACGGTGTCTCTCCAGCATAAGAAGAGTTTGCTGACTGCAGCGAGTACGCAACGGAGTTGTGCGTAAGCCGGTACTACCTGGTAACAAATCCGAATAGACACAAGAGCAGAGTAAACTTACCTGACCAGGGTGGTTGGGTCATGTGGTACATATACCGAGCTACCTTCCTCCCAAGAAAGCGTTGTTTCCCGTTCCAAGCCATCGTTGGCGAAATGACTGCGGTTGACAGAACGTGACATGAAAGTGACTACAGTCCAACCTAGTATTATAGGATATTCGCACCTTCTTAGCTGTAACCCCTGTAATCCATCTGGCGCATAGCTGGAAATACTGAAAGACATGCCACGCCACCTCATTGGTGCCCATGCTGTCATTACCTATCCAGTCTGCCTAGCCAAATTTCACCTGTCGTTGTGCGCTCGGTTTATGTCGGAGAAGCTCGCAAAGAACAGCGGGTCATTTCGGTTGATTGCGTCTTAATTCGATACGATGTGTCTATTTTAATGCTACCCAAACTTGCATGAACCTTATTTTTCATCGTTTTCATTAAAGACATAGGACTTCTTCGCGGCAATTTCTCACTGTTCGTTTTTCCTTCCACCAAGCCTTTACTGAGACTTTCTTCCCTCATTACAGTTAGGCGGCAGTATGTATCACTGGTGTTGACGATGATGGAGATTGGGATGGGGATGGGGATGGGAATGGCGATGATGATGATGATGATGATGATGATGATGATGATGATGATGATGGTGATGATGATGATGAGCAGGATGATGATGATGATGGTGATGATGATGAGCGGGATGATGATGATGATGATGATTCCGTGCGACACTCCGACATAGATCTTTAGCTTATATCTCTGAAGTACAGCAGCACGATGGCTCCAAGTCCAGAGTAACCTTGAATAAAGCACCTATCATGATGTGCAATAGATCCACTCCCTCATGTCATAGCGAGCGCACTTCAGAAGTGCATGTCCAGCAGCGTGAAGAGGTTAAAACTGTGATCTGTGTAGATGTCAGAAAAGACACAACCAGAGCTCGTTCCAGGTCTCGTTCGGATATCTAAACCAGCTTGATATGCATAATACTGGTTAAGCGATTCACATTTTTTCAGCACAATGTGTGTTCTAACTCTTTAGCTTATATCTCTGAAGTACAGCAGCACGATGGCTCCAAGTCCAGAGTAACCTTGAATAAAGCACCTATCATGATGTGCAATAGATCCACTCCCTCATGTCATAGCGAGCGCACTTCAGCAGCGTGAAGAGGTCAAAACAGTGATCTGTGTGGATGTCAGAAAAGACACAACCAGAACTCGTTCCAGGTCTCGTTCGGACATCTAAACCAGCTTGATATGCATATTAGTGGTTAAGCGGTTCACATTTTTTCGGCACAATGTGTGTTCTAATCAAAGACTATGCAACAGTTACCTTTTTTCTCACAACTGATTGTGTGTATCCACTTTTTATTAGATCGATCAATATTCCTGGCGCCAGCCACATCTCACAAAACCAGCAGGTCTGCGCACACTCAGCGATGTCACAATAGACTCCAAACACTGAAAATAATAGAATGCACAGCGTACTGGCAACCACGATCTAACTTCCTCGCTAGTTTGAAATTGTTTCGGCGTTCTGGAAGCGGTATTTCTTTTGACGTGCGTACGTTGACTAGGAGGAGACTTGATGAGTATCATCTGGTGAGTACATTCTGTGAGCATGCCGCCTGAGCCTATAGTAGTTACTGGCAAAATAGGATTTTTCTTTGTCAATTAGTCGAAATATAGGTATCTCGGGTAGGCACGGACGAAGCACCCATTCAACTGCGCACTGACGTTGTCTCCTCGACCGGGGATGAAACGTTTCCAAGCCAATTGCCAAGCTCGGCGAACAGATCAACTGCCATCTGATCAACCACTAGGATTTTTCTTTCTACCACCACTGTAGTTCCTTTTTGGTAGACCAGCAGACGATGTTGCGAGTGCTAATGCAGACCAGATAATCCCCCAAGTTAATCTGGATTCTGGGTACACCTGTTGTCTGCCAAAGTCTAGTTGAGTTATTGCTCCCTAGAGGTGAGTAAAGCCTGTGCTTCAAAATCCGAAATTCCAAAAGTGGCTCTGGAAATATCCAAGTCCAAGATGAGATCTAATATTCTGATGAAAACTCTCTCAGTAGGCTATTATTTAACGGAATTCCGTAAGCTAAACTTAATTAAAGAGTTACACAAGATTCTAAAGAGTCGCACAGAAAAAATCGATAGAAACAAGGAAAAGCCATAAATTTTGCTGACGTACGCCATCCAGATCATGGTGTAATATGGGAAGTCTTCCTAGCATCTCCAATGTTAGGCCTGATGACAAGGATGAGAGAAATTTGACTTCTTGCATTATGATAAAATTAGGAAAAACGTATTCCACCATGTAATACTACTGGAGATTTTGTTGCACAATTATTTTGCAAGCTACCACAATTTTTTTGCGGTTTTGCATCAGTAGTACAGTAATGCTGGATCACAGAGATTAATCCTAAAGACAAGCCATCCTCACTGGATAGGATGAAATGGGTGTCTCTTGTGATCAACCCCGTTCTGAATTATAACTGTGCTTGAGATTTGGTCCTGAAAAACGGAACAACAGAAGCAACTGCGTGTCATTTTAATGCGACTGACAGGAATAGCAAATAAATTGTACAAATTGCAGATAGGCAAAGGATGAAAGTAGCTGAAATCTGCTAGAGTCCGTAAGTCCGCTTCAAAATGAGCGACCGGGAGTTGTTTCGTTCCAAGAGAAGCGGAGTTCAACCCAAAGAAAGAACCATAACATAGCGGTTCTCAACTGGAGGGGATTTCAAGGATCCAGGAGTGAAGAGAGGTGGTATAATTGATGTCTAACTGCTGCTGATCTTGTTCATCTAACGTTTGGATCGCATGACATGGACTTACTAACTTTGTACTATTTTTCTGTTCACTAGTTCTCTTAATCTCATAGGTGCAGAGTTGTCGTCAACACGTGAGCATTGGCATTGCGAGACTTGCCTGAACACGTTTAGTGATTAGCACTGAACTTTTAAGTGATCATGGCACCACCTACTTGAATGGCTGACAAGCGTGTCAGTCGACTGATGTAACCAGGGTGACCGCTGGGTCACCACTCTAGGCCGGGCATTCGCATCACTCAACGTGGGCAGATTCGCCTGTTCAAAGTCGATAGCCGAGGTGTGTCCGGAGTAACTTGGTGCAGTAGTAACACCACGCTCGCCACCCACGTTAGCTTTCCACTCCCTATCGCGGCTCAGCCATTCCAAGCATACCTGCCTTTCTTCAATTGACGCTTATCTGTTGATTGGAACACGGAGAAAATCAAGCCTCATTTGGCCCTCTCCAGGTGTTAAGGGAGATTCGGCCATCGGATTACGAAAAGCAGACAGATCTTTGAAGTTAAGCGCAACAAACATTACATGTGCTAACAACAGCCCGCTGATCATTGATATAGTCAGTTATAAGCCATACGTGGTGGCAAGTTGACCTTCGCTTCATTTCTTTATCCAATCTTGAGTAAATTCAATAATCCAGTTTCTTGGACAACTTCAGTGTGTACTGACGAAATCGCTAATTTTGATACTAGATTTGCGACAGACCAATAAAACCGGAGGCTCAAAATAGTGTGGAACTGGCCACATGATAACCCACAAGTGTCCCATCAACTGGCATTGCTTTTAAAAAATCAGAGAATCATTAATGTTCCTATTGATGTTTATTCCCCCTCTGGAGTTCTAAAAGACCAAAAGGCTACAAGTATTATTTACGTTATTAGATACATTTTGCTTCTTCAAATAAAAAATTGAGTGGAGAGATAACTTTCCTTGACACTGATAAAGAAATCGTGAAAAATGGCGAGAACCAGTGACATAACGGAGAACTCAGAGATAACTACCTGATGTGAGGTGATTGCCTAGGATTATGCCAGCAGATATCGTACTTGTGGAATTTGCAACATTTGATTAAAGATTTTCGGAGATTTGTCATCAACAAATTAGTTTGTTAATTAACATGCTCAGTGAATCTGAGAAAAGCAGGAGACATTGGGTGAACCTAGTGAGGTAGTGTCCGCTGCACAGACAAATATTCTCAAGGTTTACATAGTTTTGGGATCCGGGATCCGATTTAAAATTGAAAGGAAATGTGTAGCACACAGAAATAAACAAATTGAGTCGAAATTTGCTCAGATATGATGGAAGCGTTCGGGTGCCATGTGTGTAGCCCATCTCCCTC